TTTGACTTTGTGCCCTTTTCCCCTTCCCTCTGCTGCTCCTCTGTCCCCATGTCCTTCATAGACAGAGCCGAGCTTTCTGATGGGGACTCTGCTCGAATCAACACGATGTCTGCAAATTTGACCAGAACCTAGAGCAAATACACATACTTTTAGAGATAGAACACACTTTAACACTCCGTTGCATAGACATATATCTGAACCTGCAAGGTCTTCTTGTACTGGCGGTTGCAAATGTAGAGTTCAGCTGCCATGTTGAGGAAGTCATCGCTGACCAAGCCAGGGTGTCGGGCCAGACCTTCCTCTATCACACTCAGTGCTGAGGGCAGGTCATTGTTCTCATAGTAACTCCTGCAGCACAAACAGATGAAATACTGCTTATCTGATTGGATGCATATGTATTCGGTACAAAAAAATCCATTACTTAGCCATGTCTTTGGACAACTGCATGAAGTGCTCCCCATCCTCCTGAGGCAGCAGAGACAGGATCTTGCGGTAGCCGTCCATGCACTGCTTGTGCTCCCCCAAGCGCATTTGGAGGCTGGAGCGTTCCCACAGGTAACGGACATTGGTGGGATCATACTTGATCGCTGCAGGAAAGAGGCCAATTGGCGTCACTATGACTTTAAACACACTGGCTGTCTCCTGTGCAGCACGACTTAGACCAGAATGTCATTAGGCTTCAGACAGACTTCACTGATGTTTAGATATTATTTATGTTACCAATTAGAATTGGCCTACTTACATCAGAGAAGTGAGAAGCAGTACTACAAAGACACAAAATATTACTAAGTATGGAAGGTGTTTATGCAGATATCTTCGTACTCTTGAGATAAAGCAAGAGTACTAACTAACCCATAAATAACTTTTCAGTAAGATATATGCGCTTGTTTTAAGTGCTTGGGTAGACCTCTAAAGGGTTAATAGAGGCATAATGTTGTGATGACTATCTGAAGGTGGAATTTCAGAAAGACAAGGAGTTTTCAAATAGACAGAGCGTAATTTCAAGGTCTTCAACTACTTTTTTAACAACTGAATGTTACAAAATTACTTGATTGTGCTGTAAAATGGTACTATGTGCCAGAAAATATATAATACTGGCCATTGAAGAAATTAACTGAAAACAAGCTCTGATTTATTCCTAAAGTTACTTGTAAGTTAAAATATTTCAAGTGTACTAAGATATTTTCACTAGAAATTAGACCAAAACTACCTGGTAAAATGTTTTTGCAGTGGGGTTCTACAAATGCATCAAAACAAAGACCTCCCACCAGTTTCTGTCTATACGTGCAGCAAGTTTCATAGAAATCGGAAGTAATTACACACATCCAAAATATGCCTCCAAACACACCACTTTCTTGTCAGACTTTAGGCACATCCTGAGGTCAGATGAAATAAAAATTAATGTGTTTGACTATAATGACCATTTATAGAAAAAAGAGGGATTTTTGGAAGCCTGACAACATCACCCTAACTGTGAAGTACAGTGGTGGCAGTATCATGTTGTGGGGGTCTTGTGCTGCAGGAGGGACTGGTGCACTTCATAAAACAGATGGTACTGAAAATAAGTGGGCAGAGCTGAAAATATGTCTGTGAGATAACCTGACCCAATTACACATCAAAAAGACTTTTCTGTCAGTTTTATTATGCTTCTTATGCTTGTGTTATTCTTTGTATAATTTAACGTTGCTTTTTAGAGAACAGTGCTTTGTGATTTCATGTCTGTGAAAAGCGATTTATAAATAAACATTGACTTACATACTTTACTATTTAACCCAAATTAGGCAGTTCTCATCCATTACACACATTATGAATTTTAGTCTAGCCAATAAAATTATAATGATTATCAACCTAAAACAAGAAAAGTTTATACTGACTTTATGTCAGACAGGAAGAAAAATGGCTGGAGTAAATATGTAGTGTAATCTCAATTCAAAACCACCACAGCTATCACAGATCATCCTCTTTTTTTTGTAGAAAAGAGCAACGTTTAGAAAAAAGTGGAAAAAACACTAAATGAGCATCAAATGTAAGAGAAACTCAGACAGTGGTAAAGGTGAGGGACAGGAAGTGACGGAGATGACTCACCTTTGGTGTAGCAGATGATGGCCTGTCGGACGTTGTCCTGCTCGAGAGACATGTCGGCCAGTCGGATCCACTCCTCACAGTCTGAAGGGTTGAGGTGGGCAGCGATGAGCCCAAACTGCAGCGCCTTGTCCACATCTCCATTGTCCTCATAGATCATGGCCAGAGTGGAGAATGGCTCATAGGCCAGAGGAGCTGAAGGACACATGTAAGGAGTCAAATCATCTACTTGTATAAAGAGAGTTAAATGAACAGCTGCTCACATTGTCTTATGATCTCCATGCACATCAAGATGGCATCCTCTTTCTCCCCCCGAGCGTAACGAATGTTGGCCTCTCCCATCAACCCCCTGAGAGCCTGAGGAAGCTTGCTGCCATGACGACGCCCCTGGAAAGACATAGTGAGTAAACACAGGTAAAAAATGAGGCAAGGTGATCTTGGTTCTCCGTCTTACCTTCATCAACCTTCTGTTTTCTCGGTTCAGCTCCATCTCCAGCTTGAACACGTCTCCCACCGTCATGTCCTCCTCCTTCTCCTCCTCCAACTTGCTCTTCAGGCCTTTTTTGCCTCCTTGCCTCAACCTCCTCTTTCTTTCTTTGGTTACTCCCTTCACCTCCTCTTCTTCCTCCACATTGAAATCCCTATCATCTTTGTCATCAATATAGCTCAAGCTGTCCTCCTCTTCTGAAGACGCCGCTGCTGCCGTTTCCCCCAGAATGGAAGCGAAGGCTTGCTGTACTCCTGGGCTGACTCCGTCCTCTAAAAGGAAAGAGAAAAAACTTTGGATGTTTAGGTCTGTGTACATTTAAGCAGTTCAGTTTTTTGACTTCATTTTTTGTTTATTAAACTCAAGGAACCCACGGGTCGGTTTGTTATCCAAGTTTTCATTTTGATGTAATAAGTGAAAAACAAAAAATCTCATGTGTTTTTGTTTTTTCATTGTTACTTCAAATGAAAAAAACCCAAAATGTCTAACGGCTTTCATGTTCATGGGCCTTTTTAAGTAAGATGACTCCATTTGTGGTTTTTGTTTCATTCATTTAGTTCAGGAATTCATTTCAATAAGTAGTATTTACTATATAGCTTTATGACATTCAGAGTGGGTTACAAGGTCTATTAAAGAAAAAGCATCTGAAATATTTTGAGCTACATTATCTAAAGACTTTCGATTTTCCAGTTGCCCAGAAGAGAAGCCCACACCCTCCACAATGAAGGTAAGCCACTAAAAAAGCTGAACAAATACAGGATACTAATGCAATTATGTTCATAGAAAATTGAGTGGGAGGAGAAAAGAGTAGTTGTAAAACATGCACATGCAGCTGGGATTGCTACATCCTTCAGAGTGATGCAAAACAGAAGCTATGGAATATTGTCAAAATGACTTCCTGAACTTCCTGAACCACAAGCTGAACCCACAACCTACCTGCATTGATTCAGTAATTCATGCAAAAGCAGCCCAGACCAGCAACTGAGGAAATGATTGTACTTTTTAGCATGTCCACAAATTTCTACAAAACCCTTTTTTGATTCATTTTCCTTGAAATTCCAAACAAAGACAAATTTTGTGGTTTAATTAGCTTGGCCATTGCCTTTGTGCTCTTAAAATTAGAGGCAAATAGGGGACGTTTGGTTTTAGGTGATGGTTGTGATCAGGATAGCCATCTTACCAATAGCAGCTTTTGTTTGTGCTGAGGTGGAAGGTTTGTTTTCATCTTCTGTAAGTTCCTCTGAGTCCTGGTGGAAAATGGGAAATGATTAGAGGGTGATCCAAGACAGTGATAACTGTGACACAGGTATTCGGACAGTCAAACAGAGACATGGAAGACATGTTCAACCTCTGACACGAGCCTCTCAAACTACTGGTAAAGATTGCAATTGCACTTTATTAGACCACACGTTCTTCTTCCACTTAACTTTCCATTGTTATGCTTGGACAAAGGCTGAACAATGTTGGACAGCTGTTAAGTCAGAAACCATCTACCTTATTCGGGTGTTTTATTGGTGCTATAGAATGTTCTAATTTTCTGACTTTTATCAAAAGTAAGCATTAAAATGACCAACGGTTGAAATAGATCTATTTGGAATGTAGGTGATAAATGTAAGTGACCAAAATAAATGCTTTTCTGTGAATTTTCTTTTTGACATTTATTTTCATCTAAAACTGCCGCTGTATGAGGTGTACCTCCGCTTTCCGCTCATCTCTCCGTCTGTCAAACTCTTCGAAGGTTATTCTACCTTCCAGGTAGTCGATTAGTTCTGCGCTGAACCCCGACATATCCGCTGGGGTTCGAAGATGAGCTTCATCAGATCACCTGCATTCGTACTGGACTGAAGGTGTTTTGAGTCGAACAGAAGCTACAGACGCTGTTCTTCTTCTTTTTGTTATGGCGGTTGTCAAGCAACGTACTGATGTACATTACCGCCATCTAGTGGAGTGGAGTGTGGACCAGGACGCTACATTACCCCACCCCAAAAAATCTGTCCTATCAATTTCATCTAATTGAGGCATTTCAGTAACGAACAAATACATTTAGACATAGACATTTTGTCAAAAAATACTTGTATATTTAACTGTAATTTATTATCTAAACTAATTCTCGTCTCTCAACAGAATATTTGGAACAGAACAACAAAACATATTTTACTGTCATATTGAAAACAAAAATCACATTTTTCTGTTGAATGTTTTCCCATACGTAATCTTTTCTCCTCATTACATCATCTTTTCTTTGAATACTGTAAAGCCACCTGCCAGTTCTACCTTCTTCCCACTGTTTCCGAAATTTGTCCTTCTCCTTTTGTTGAAGTAATTTTCTAGATATTTATATGTTATATCTGTTATATATCTGCTGTTCGTTCGATGTCCCTTTCTCCCGTCCAGTAGGTGGCGGTAATGCATTTTTACAACAGTTATAAAAGGCAAACAACATCAACAGAAAAAAAACTACCGGAGTTTAGCAGGGCGGAAGGCGCGTCAAATAAACAGGGTGGCGATTTTGAATTTGAATTATCGTGTTATATTTCTAGTGAAACTTTTGTTTTCCTACATGGCTGAGCAGGGCGACTCCTGGTCCAGCTGTAAGCGGCCTGCTGAGGTCGTTCGGCTGAGGAGAAAAAGAGTCCGTAGTGTCGCTGAGAGTCCCGGAGCGAGCGGCTCTTCTCCGGCTTCTGGCTCCTCCTCAGCAACTCCCAGCTTCCACAGCCAGTCCACAAGCAGAGGGAAACGCAGGAATCCTTTTTTGACTTGGGACAACACTGTCAGTCGTCCGAAGAAAGTTTTAGTCGAAGACGGGGACTGTGAAAATGTGGGTACGTTTATAAAACTTATGTCCGCGGAGAAGACATTAGGGGACAGCAGAAGGGGTCCACCTGGAGACAGCTCGGCGGAGGTAGGATCAGTAATTCGCTCTGAGACGAACCCACAAACCAGTTTTATATCTGCTCCGCAGAACTCATTGTTCCAACATGTCTTACCAAATAAACATGTTTCCTACGTACTGATTATTCTTACAACATAAAAGCTTTAATTAGACCACTGTGTTGTTAAGCGCTCCGCATTACAACCATGACGCAATTCACCTATGGCTTGGCAATTAATCAATAACAATACATTCAAGAAAACACGCGATCAATATCAATAGAAAATATACTTCATAGAATATTCAATACTGACACTAAACTTCGAGCCAGAACCGCACAGCATTCTGGGAGTTGTAAGCAGAGGAAAGACTCAAACTCTCAAAGCAAGCGAAAACGGTTGGAATAGTTTCAACTCAGTCCTGGTTGTTGGGTAACTTGCACAGCAGCAGTTTCAGATTTTAGTGCTGTGTGAGATGAAACTGAAAACTCAGTAGCCTACAACAGTTCAAGTGGAAATTGTGGATAAAACAGGAACGCCATATTGACAGTATTTCAAATATTTTCAAAAATGTATCTGTACAATAATGATCAGTATCAACCAACATCAAACCCTCATATTGATATCAGCCACATCACTTGTGGCTACAATCCAGTAGCTTGCCATCATCAGTGTGAATGTGTCTGAATGGGAATGACCGATTTCATGTGAAACATCATAAATTCTAATACTAAATATTTGCCAGATGCTAAAAACTGAGGATGACTTGGAAAAAAGATGACATAAAATTTTAAAAAAGCTTAGATAATAATAATTATAGATTTTATTTCTAATACCCTTTGTCTTTAGATTTCACAGGGCAGGAAACCAGGAACAAAACAAACAATTTTAATGGATAAAAATAATTAAATAACGGAATAAATACAAACCACGTTATAAAACTAAAAATAACGTTCAGCATTAAAATATAAACTCTTCATTCAAAAACTGTACCCTAATGTTTGATTATTATAAAACAAATTCACAATTTCAACCGATCAATATTAGAAATATTCGTATTTACAAATAAACATACTTGTGCCTCTAAGAAGATACAATTTCATAACGTTGTTGCAACTTGTCTTCTATTCTTTTAGTCGTTAAGCTGCCGCTCTATAATACATATAAGAACTTGTCCTATCAAAATAAAAGCATCAAATCAGAAACCTGAAGTCAGTTATACATTATATTATACAAATAAAATAATGTAAAGGCAATAAGAGTTTAAAAAGTGACACGACAAATAAGGAACTTAATTTGGGGTTACTTACAACTTATTTCAAACAAATGTAAAAAAATTCTAGGCTGAATTCCCCTGCTTGATTAATGAAAAATAAGTCAAACAACAACCGCTTAATACCTTGTACATCAAAGCCTATGAGATTGTTGAAATTTAGAACCTATGCTTATTAAGAATTTACCAAAAGAACAAAAACATGCTCATGAAAAGATTGCATGCATTTTGTTGTAGAAGTCTCTGTCTGAAGACAACCCCCTGTTGGAATCAGAGGAGCAACATATTGACAATCTGCTGCTCAAGGTGGGCTTTTTCTGTTATATTAGTACAAGCAGATATATAGCATCAGAATGTTTGAGTGTAGCTTTAAATGTGCTCACCTATCCTCATTGTTTTTCCATTAGAACCCACTGGCCATTACACCCGTCTCCATAGAACCTGTTAGGTGTGCAGACTATCCAGCTGACTGGAGCTTGAAAACTCGGGTCATCTTCACCTCTCCAGTCTCCTTGTCGTGGACAGGGCAACCAAAAGCTCAGGAAGAAGCTCTGGGGCTCAGCAACAGCTGCAGAGCTAAGTTTACCATGCTCCCGCACAATCTGCAGGTAGCTAATGTTATTACTTCATCTCTTTCTGAAGCAAATTGCGCATTCCTCATTTATTCTTTTAACTTTACAGTTGAATTTGAGGATTCCTTTTTGAGAATTCCTTTTAATGTTACTGTGCACGAATAAAGCAAAACAAAAAAACAAGAAAAAACAACTCTCGAAGAAACACAAAAAGAATTGGAATGTTAAAAAAAAAAAAGTTAGTAAATAAATAAAGATCAGATTTTAGATGGATTTGCTGTCTTTTGGGCAACAACAGCTCTTGGGTAGAAACTATTTCTTAGTATGTTTGTCCTTGACTTTATTGCCCTGAAATGCCTCCCTGAGGGCAGAGCGTGAGGGGTCCTTGATGATGCTGGGAGCTTTCCAGAGGCAGCAGGTTCTGTAGAACTCCTCCAGAGATGGAAGAAGGCAGCCAATCAAACCTCAAACCTTGCACACAATGGAGCTCATGTCAAGCGACTCCCCTGCTCAGGTCCATCAGACTTGCCAGCAACAATGAGTAGGTGTCCCTGCAACACACTGGTGACCTGTCCAGGGTGACCCCACCTCTCGCCTGAAAGATAGGCACCAGCACCCCTCCTGACCTCACTCGGACAAGGGTGTTAGAAAATTGATCTATGGATGGATAGTGGGTGCTCTGTGCACCTACTGATCTCATTATATGAGCTACGTTTCAGTGGAATGCTGGTAAAAAATTTTTAAAGGATTAATAGAGATCCAAGATGTGATGACTTCCTAAAGGCGAAGTTTTAGAAAGAGCAGAGTTTTTAAAGAAACAGAGGCCCAATATCATTATCAAAGTGAAATGTATTTTAAGTAACATTTTACATTTACTGTGTTTTTAAAACAACTGAAGGTAACATAGTTACTTGATTGTGCTGTAAATCAAAAGGGCAGTATTATGTGCATCCAGCCATGTGACTGGCTGGACATAATATTGCCCTTTCAAGGTTCTGGGGTTCCTGAAAGGCTTTGAATGTCTGGGGGCCCCTCTGGAGCTGCTGACTTCATTTGGATTAAGTGAAAATAATTGCTATTCATTTTGATTATATTTCTTTATTTGTTGTTTTTAAGACTTTAGTTGAGGGTTTAAATAGAATTTCACAGGCGTTGTTTTCCTGTAACATATAATCATTGTAATATTTTTACATTTTCTGTCAACATCTTGGAATACAAAAAGAAGGTGGACCACCAGAGGACTGCTTTGGCTCTCTTACCACCAAGCTTAGCAAGTTTTCTGCGGGAATCCCTGAATTTTATGTTTAGTTTAGTTAGTTGTTATTTGTTCATGTCAATCGCTGAATGTAATGCTGTGCATGTGTTGCAGGAGCCCAGGTCCTGGTCCGACATCCGGTCTGCCTTCCAGCAGAGCTTGGTGTACTGGCAGTACCCTTCTCTGCCCTGGCTCACTTTGTTCCCCAGGATCAATGCTGAAAAGAACTTCTCTGGGAAGAACATGCCATGGACTCAGGATGAAGCAGTACATGAGAGTCTTGTGAAGGAATGGTGAGGTTGATAGACTTTCTGCTCTCTCCTTGAGGTCAGGGAGGATAGCATTCAATAAAAAGACATTTTGTCTTCTTAGGTCTGTCAGTTTGTCATCTCTCTACAGCCTTCTGAAGGTGGGGCTGTGCCCATACTTCTATGTCTGCTCCTATCAGGTACATTAACCTTCTTTGATGTTTGATAGATTCTGTTTTTATTTCCCTAATTGGCTCTTCTTTGCATCAGTTCACAGTGTTGTTCAAGGCACCGGGCCTAGCAGGGTCAGACTGCATAACTGCCTTAATTTCTCCTACGACTCGAGGTCTCAGAGAAGCAATGAAGACTGAAGGTACTCATAAAGAGATTATCATGTACCAATCAGGGGTCTCGTTAAAGAAATATTTTTCCATATTTCACCGTTTTTTTTTGTGTGTGTTTTTTTTTTTTTTAACAACGGAAAAATGTGAAGATTTATCATAATAATTAACACCCTTGACTGGTGCACATGAGCAGACATGATAGACTTTATGTAGAGTTCATTTAAGAGGAAACTAAAATCAGTCAATAAAAAGATCCTTTCTGAATAACATCTTATATGAACTAATGCGTCTCACTGACTGGGAGCCGAAGCGTGTTGAAGAGTTATGGACCGGACGTGTTGGTATAAAAGCGCATTCCAAACATTTGGATGAAATGTCGTCTTTAATTCCAGTCTCCAGTACATACAGAACAGAAATCTGAAAATAATGCAATGTTGTTTTATTTCATTTATTGTCTAAACAGAGGAGCCAAGAGTTCATCGTGAGGAAATAAGTAAAGGTATAGAAGTTAATTAGACTGTAAAAGCGCATGGTTCAACTTGGTGAGCATAAACTAAATCACATAAAAAATGTGGCTGAATAGCCTATGTTCATGTGATTATAATTTGAGGAGTAAATTTAGTAATTGACAGATTTTTTTTATGCTGTCAGTCAAAATGACACAACAAAAAAGTCTAGTGCGATATCTGATACCAACTTCCCTTGTGCTGCTGTGCTTTATCTATGACCCATGTCTTTGTGAAGGTGTGGAGTTCAGTCTTCCCCTACTGAAGGAAAGGAGGCGGATCAGTGAGCAGCATAAAAGTATTCAAAAGGGAGAAGAGGAAATGGAAAATGAGAACCAAGATTTGTGAGACTTTGTCTGAACTGTTGAAGACAAATCTGAATTCTGTGTTCTTGAATATGTTTCAAATGTTCTTTTTCTGGTTTTACTGCTGCAATGATTCGAAATGTAAATGTTGTAGATTGCAGGTGGATGAGGACTATCAGAATTGGGATGAAGAAGATGACAGATGCAGCCAAGGTGAAGATGACAGCTTGTCTTGGTTAAAGGAGATAGGAATCCAGGACAAACTCAGAAAGCCTGAATGCATTAACATACAGCTGTATCCTTCACTGCTCCTTGTTTTTGCAACGTTTCTGAACTAATACAACCTTGTTCTTCGTAAAGCTAAAAACAGTGAATACTGAATGCTCCTTGACTGCTTATATAGACAAAAAGAAGCTCCGACTCTGTCTCTAGACCATAAACCTGAGTCGGCTGTATGTGTGGAGGGATCCCACTCCTTCAATCTCATCAACTTCCTCATCAACTGGAAGAGTGTGGTGGCTGCAGCGGGTTCTCAGACCGGTCTGCCACCAACCTTGCTGGCCCCCACTGCCTTCAGAGGGGCTACCATGAATGTGCTGAAGGTATAGGAGTTATCCATGTCATCGTTTCTGAGTCAATACACAAGGTTTTTTTTTGTTTTTTTGAAGGACTGGAAATGAAATGTAAGATCAACCATTACTAATAACTATGTCTTTATTAACCCCTGGCTGACTGTCTGGTTTATGATGTGTTTTCCAGAGCCGCAGCGTTAATGTCAAGAACTTGGTCGATTGTACCTACCAGAACATTAGCAGTCTGGAGCTCACAGGTACAGAACCAGAACTGGAACCTTTTTCTTTTTACTTCTGAATTGCAGATGTTCTTTTTGAGTTTTCAAAACTATAACCCTGTTCAGATTGATATTGTAGGGGTGGTATTATGTTTAATCAACTTTTTTGAGCTTTACATGATATAATGTTATTAAGTCACCAAAAACATATTTGGAGTTGTTTCTTTGATTCTTTCATGCATGTCTGAGAAATTCTTGAATCTCCCATTCAAATGAGCAAAAAGCCTTTGCACCGGTGATGCCTTTGAAGCACAGATCCTATACTTTAGAGCTTCTGCCTCACAGAGCAAGCCCCCCACCCCCCACTTCATCACTCAGATCCTTTAAACTACCAAGTAGCAATTTGCAAAAAACTGGTGGATCTGTGCATCTACTGAGCTAATTAAACTAGCTACGTCTCAGTCCAATGCTGGTAAAAATGTTGTGAAAGAGTTAATAAAGGGAGCGATGTTGTGGTGACTTTCTGAAGATGGAGTTTCAGAAGGAGCAGGAGTCTTAAGAGGTGTTAAATTGCAGTGTCAAATTTCTTTAAAGTCACATTTGATACATAGTATTCTTATCACAATTGAAGGTAACAAACTTACTTGATTGTGTTATAAAATGGTACCATGTGCATAGGAAATATACAGTGGTTACAAACACTCTTTGTTTCACTGCAGTCATTTGCTAGAATCAAAACAGTTAATACTGTTTCTCATTAATGAACACTCAGAATTCCATCTTGACAGAAAAAGCAGAAATGTAGAAATTTCTGTTTTCAGAAAAACTGAAATATCAGCAAAGGGTCTGAATAATTCTGACCAACTGACACTCATCAGCCAAGGGTGGGCAGCATGTGACTGCAATGGGCAGCAGTCACATGCTGCCCATTTCTTCTGATCCTCCTATGAAGGATCCTCCTAACTCTGCATAGAGTTCGCCAAAAAACACAAGAAAGACTCCCAGAATATGATAAATAAGATTCTCTGCTCTCATGAGACAAAGATTGAACTTTATGGAATTAAGTCTAAGCGGTGTGTGGAGAAAACCATGTACTACTTCTCACCTGCCTAATACAATCCCAACAAAATAAAATCTTACCAAACTTTGTTACGTTTTCCTGCTACTCTTCAGTTTTAAATTTGCCATTATTTTGGCTTTTGAACTGGGCTGAATGAAACCACCCAAATTCTCATGGAAACTTGAACAAAAATACCAGTAGGTGGCAGTAGCAAGTGATATTATCACAGTTTAGACAGATTCTATTTCTGTGCCGGTCCCATTGGTACAGAAATTTTATGAAACTGAAAGGAAATTCAATTCCAGATACAAGATGCTCATTAAGCATTGTTTACTGTTTTCTGTGGTTACTTTCTGTCCTCGCAAAGTTCTTCATAGATAACGTTCTAAACTGAATTTGACTGCTTTATTTTACAAGGTCAAACTGGACTGTATGTCAGTGACTCTATGGATGATTGGATCTTAGTGATGGGATTTTGATGTGTATTTCTGTATGATGGGAAACAAATGGGGCCTGTGTTTCTTAAGTGTCTTGAGATAACATTTGTTGCGAGTTGGTGGTGTACAAATGAACTTAAACTGATTTTCTTTTTGCACTTTAGGACCCATCCTTCCTTCATCTCTTCATGCCATCACAACTCTTCTTCAGACTGCACAAAAAGGCAACTTCTCTGCAGCTCTTTATACTCATGCACCCACTGCTGTCATGAACACAGAACCCTACAGGAAACTGGTATGATATTAATCACATATTAGATGCACGCTAACACTAATATTGAATCGGCCACAGTAATATTGAATCACAGTAAATATTGAGCAATCTCCCATGTTTCTTTGCTTTACAGTGCAGCAAGGCAGTGGGTGACCTGGCTCACTGTGGTCTTCCTCCTGCTTCAATTGATCATCTCCAGCAACCATCCACTCTTGGCAAAACTACCCTGACACACATCACGATGAATAACTACAGCTACACATGGAAGATTGGATAAAATAGAGATGGTGCATATTTCAAACCATCACACCACCAGCAAAAAGACAACAGCCAATAGAATTTCTTCAATTCTTTAGATTTTGTTGGTCTTTTATCAAGAATAGATGTATTTTTTGTAAATTGTTTTTTAAAAATAGTTCATAATAAATCCTATTTATGCAAGAAATTTTTCTACAATTTTTGGTTTTCAACAAGTTAATTTTATTGGCGTTTATTTAATGTGTTTGAAGTGTGATCTTCTTTTACCTTTATTTCCTGCTTCAAAAGGAGGCGTGATCCTGTCTTCTTAACTTGGAATGCATGGTTAGCTGCACTTCGAAGATGTAAGGAAGCTTCCTCCTTCAATTATTATTTGAATTTCTTTCTTAGACAGAAACCCAGTTCCTCCATTATTATTATTATTATCGTCATCATCGTCACAGTTCTGATTACAGACTCAGTGAGTGGTGGTTGGAGAAATCCTCAAAGGAAGCAGATCCACATGGAAAACCATTTGGACTGACCCATCTATATGATCTGCATCAGAGGAAGGCCTCAGGCTCCCTCTGTTTGCGTAAACGGCAAACTGTGCTGAACTTTATGAGTGTCATTAAAAATTAGCAGCACTTTCCAGAAGCACATTTTTAATATCTATCATGCTAAGTTAATGGGAGTGTGAGCTAGCAAAACTGTGTTGCTGTTACAATTGATACTTGGTCTTGGTGAGTTAGCATTGTGCTAATGCTAAATTGTGGTTGGTTTTATTTCTGTTTATAAAACATTTTTTAACAAAAATATCATTTTGGTTAAAATGTGATTTCACCCAGTCAGACTTAAGTTCACAATATTATAAGGAATCATTTTAAATTCTTTGCACTATTTTTTCAATTTAATGTAGTTTATTGACCTTAAATAGATTTTATTTATGATTTAACAGGAGAAAGTTTAGTAGAGTGATTCATAAATTTTATTTCATTCCATAATTTACAAAACCTGTATAAAATATTTTAATCAATTATTTAATTGGCTACAGGAACACTAATCTGATTTATATGGTTAAAGAAATTTATTTGTTTACATGGTTAAAAATAAAATACTACAAAAGATATTGCGTTAAATCAACATGCATGTAAAATATTACTGTGGTAATATGGGAACTGAAGAACTAAGCTATATCTAAGAATGGATGAAAAAAAAAAAGATTTTATTGGCTGTACAATAATGCCATTGTGTGAAGGTAAGTTTTTTTGTTTTTGTTTTTACAAACAGGTGTTCAACTATCTGTGCTACCATCAATCCATCCTACCTGGTAGCAATGCGCATGCACACATCGGTATCACGTTTTCCTACCCTTCAGATTTATTCATACATCCCATCAGTGGAGGTTTTATTTCGTCTGTTTTATTTAATTGAAGATTAAGCTTTATCTAATTTATTTTGTACCTGGCTTTAGTAATCTGTTGATTATGCTTGGTTCAAGGCCGCTTGTAAATGTTTTTGTAAATAACTAATTTGCTTCTCCAATGTCTTCACTGCAGATAGCAACCAAATGAATCAGGACAAAATACGTTGATTTGTGGGCTATGTTGCCCTATACTTTAAAATACACTGCTCAAAAAATAAAGGGAACACTCAAATAACACATCCTAGATCTGAATGAATGAAATAAATATGAAAATAATTTCCACCTGTTGTCTATTCCATTTGCACAACAGCAGGTGATATTGATTGTCAATCAGTGTTGCTTTCTAAGTGATTTGATTTCACAGAAGTTTGATTTACTTGGAGTTATATTGTGTTGTTTGAGTGTTCCCTTTATTTTTTTTAGCAGTATATTTTAGTTTAATAACACTTTTTTCATTAAACTGTTAAATAGAGCAATTTACATACGGTGTATGTAAATTATGTATTTCTACGGTATTGTGTATATTAAGATGCCCTATATTTTCAAAAAAAATAAAGGGAACACTCAAATATCGCCAAAACATCACAGAGACCTGTGATGTTTTGGCGGACACAATTTACATACAATGTATTAATGCGCAAAAAAGTTTGCAGAGATCTGTATTCGTAGATGTCTATTTAATTTCAATAGAAACTTGTTTGCTCTCTCTGCTGCTGTTTCATTCTTTCAAACACCTCTGTATTTAAAATATTTTTCAAAAGGTAGGATATTCTGATGCAGGATCCTAATGCACTGCTATGTGCTACCCACACATTTACCAGCTGGTTATTCTGATTAAGGCATTTTGGTGCATCAGCATTTGCTACGTCTGTATTTAATTATGATATTCAAATGAAGAAATCTGCTATAGCAAAATGTGCTACCCACTTGTTTACCAGGTAGAATATTTTGATGGAGTTTTGGAAGATCAACATGTGCTACCATGTGTATTTTGTGGTTAGGGTTAGGGTTAAGGTAGGATTCTAATATGGGATTTTAGTGCCAGCTTTACATGATAAACAGGTATGCTATTCTCAAGAAGGTTTTAAGTGCATTTAGACAAAGTGGTTTGAACAGGGATTCAGATCCTTTTACTAAAGATGTCATTCACATTTTTTTTCCTCCAAATTCTACTTATCCCTGCTAAGTGCAAATCCCTTCCCTTAAAAGTAATAATTGAACATGAGTATTTAACATTGACACTAACTGCTAAGGTCTTTTGTATGGAAATATGACTCTTTTTGGTTTTTGATAGGTAGCACCGACAGACATAGCTATCTGGTACAGTAGAAAAATTTGACAAGTTAGCACAGACGGTCAGAACACTGGGATGACGTAGTGGTCATACAAAAAGGAAACATCAACAATTTGCATAAACTTGATTCACTTGTCATTAACAGCTTATGGTTTATGAAATGTTTATTGTTAAACTTCAGAATACCAGATGCCTGACAATAAGCTCTAACAAGAGTCAAGCAGTGAAGTTTATAAAATGTGTGTAAGAATCAAATCTTTTGGGAATGACTGCATAATGAATCCAGAGCAGTGATGTTGGGAGATGAAGGACCCAATAAAAAAATTGGACAACGACTTGTAGGTGAAAACACAATAATTTTAAGAGTTCCTTAAGACCAAATAATATAGAAGGGAAAATCCTGACGGAGTCTGGACATGTGCAGAGGGTTTGGTGCATTTCTTGGACAACAGATGTTAAACATGGAGCTGCTGGTGATGAAGAAAAGGCTGCAGAGAAGACTGATGGGTAAAGTGAAAGAGGGCATGCAAAGTCAATGTGAAAGAAGATGCTTGGCTTAGCATGAGATGATTCTTTGTGTAAGGAGTGTCATTAAGCCTGGAAAATACAATGTGCATCTGATGCACTAAAATATAGGCTTTGAAAATAATATTAATACTCAGTTAATTGGTGTAGCCCATATTTTCTTTTTGGAAGGACTCCACTTTGCTACACGATTGTATTTGGGCAGAAATGTGAAACAGATCAAAGTATTACATTCAAGTTAGCAAACATAAAATAAACATCTGCATACTTTTCAACTCTTTAACTGGCAACCAATGTATAGAACCAATGCCTTTTACCTTTGACTTTTCACCTCTGACTCTAAGTGTCCAGATCAGAGACACTGAATCCAATACGCTTGTGAAGTAAAGCGCCTTTCTGAGCAAAAATGTGAAACAAGTCATTTAGTGAGTAAGTTGCACAAACTGATGTTTCTTCATTGGTATAAAAACACATGCTGTACTGTTGGTGATCTGCGTTCATGCAGTCCTAGTGTGAAACCAATTGGAATTACATTCACGAGAAATTGACAGCAAAATCTACATATTTGTGGTTCAGTAACATTTTGGAAACCCTATAGAAAATGAACAGCTTGCTCAACACATCAAGGCTTTTTTTTAAGAAAACAAAAAGAAAACGACACATTACCAGTAATGTTTGGAGATTTCATGAGATAGTTTTTTAATGGATTGAATAGATAGATAGCTTATCCAATTCCAATTTGACAGACAGACAGGTGAAGACGATGGCTTTTTTCAATCTGTCAAACAACAGAGACAAACAAGGGCCAGTGCCCCTGCGGACCTGGTCCTGAACCCTATTATGACCTCTGTAATAAAGTGATAATACTAAATCAATTTATGATGATATAAGACTATGTAGGCAGCGTTTTGGGGAAATCACAGTTAGTCATTTTACAGCAGATTGAACACATTCTAATGCCACACAACTTTTAGAAAATTTGAGACGCTGTGAGAGCTTTTGTGGAGCCAGCTGCACATTGTCCAACCCCCCCAAAAAACAAACCATCATCATCCTTCTACTTCCTGTCTTCTTCAGGTTTTAGCCAGTAGTAACATCCTGCTCATTACTCTTGTGATGTGAAGAAGTGTTTCAATACGGCTGAAAAACCACCTCATTCTAGCACAAAGGCTTTTTATTGAGAAATGTAGGTTTTCTCTTTTTAATTGGAAGCTTTTCAAAGAAAACGATATGTTACTGGTAATGTCTTGAGATTTTATGATAAAGTGGAATTTACAACATTGTGTTAGGTGAATTTTGTAAATTTCCTTAACAGACAATTAAGCAACTTAATTAACAAATTAATTAATTACAATTAATTAATTTATTGCAATTAATGGATAATTGCGCAAATTGTCCTTTAAACATATAATTTGCGCGATTATAAGGTTAATTGTTAATTGACGTTGGGCCAATTACATTGGTTTCCTTCGGTTTTATTTTAACATGAATTAATAATCAAAGTTGCACTATGTAATGTTTATAAATAACATGTTTTTTTACATAACTGTTAAAAATGTCATAATATCTTAACAGTATCTTAACATATAATCTGCCTAAAGACCGATCTTCCTCCCGGAGCTATTTTTGCATCAAAAGAAAAGTGTTGCTCCTGACCAAAAACAACCAATCAGAGCCAGGAGGAGGGTCTTGGTGCCATCACTAACCCTCACGTACTCACTCCTAAACGTGCTATTGGCGGAGAAACGACATACTGTTACAGAAAAACCATTTTACCCGCTGCCATTGGTAGTTATGCTAACTAGCCTCAACATTCACAACAGAATCTGCTGGTAAAAGCTGGCAGCCCCACAGCTCACCCCCACCTCCGTGCTCTGATTGGTTGTTCTACTTTGCACTGGGAGAAGGCAGAGGAGCTACATGTTTTTTTCACAGATTCTCTGCCTCAGAGTCATACCATGACATGGTGACAGCTTCAACAAATATGTAAAAAAAAACAACAAAAAAACATTTTAGAAAAGTTTCATACTACAGCTTTAAAGTGTTGCTCTTTTAGTTTCAGCCGCATTGACATAGAATAACAGTTTTCGTCTGTTAGATCAAGGGTCTGTAATCTGCAACTCTGGAGAACCAAATGGCTCTGTGGCTTACTTAACTTATGAAATATTGCCATGTATTTTTTATTGTTTTGTACTGTGCCTCAATGAAAAGAACTGCTCCACCCCCTGCCGGTAAATCAAGTCTAGAACTGCTACTGTCAAACAACTTAAATATGTAAAGATAAGACTCACACAGTTCTTGAGTTGTCGTCATTATATAAAATATACTCATTTCAGGTGAGTCTACTCTTAGCAGCATTGCTGTGATAAGAGTAGAAACATTTGTCATCACTGTCTGAGGCGACTCAATATGGTCTCCATACAGCTTCAGCAGCAACCATGTTTGCTGGGGAGCTACTGTGGCTGGATTCCACCTCCACACCCACTCCCTCATTCTGATTAGGCAAAGAAGGGTGTAAAAGAGAAGAACCTGTGGATGCAGTGGTACAAGGTGGGAGGATACGAGGTGGAGAATGTGAGTCACTGCCGCCTCCTCCCCCGGCCATCATAGAGAACTGGTATGAACCAGTGGTGGCTGAGTAGTACAGGTGGTATGGAGATGAAGTAGACTGGAACGGCCCATTCTGAGCTTGGTGAGGGGTATTTGCAGGGTACGGTGGAGGCAAATATGTATGGTACCGTCCTGTTTGGGTGGTTGCCATGGCTGTGGCCATAGTGATGCTGATGGCACCATTAGAGACTGGATTATGGGTTGGCGTGTATGTGAATGCAGCTCCTGTAGGAGGATAGTGCACCCGAGGGTTAGAGAATCGAGAGTCGGGCAGTGAGGGAAGGGAGCTAAAAGGCCGCTCCAAAGCCATCCTGGGGTCACCAAAGGCTGTAAGGTCAGGACCTGAGGGAAAACAAATGTTACAGAATATAATCTGGTTAAGCCTTATATATGCTTATGGTGTATGTTGGTGTTTTACCTGTGAGTCTTGAGGACAGGTCACCAAGAGAAGAGCGACCAGGTGAAAGTGGAGCAGTTGTGTGAACAGTGGGAGTAGTTATCTGACCAAGGTAGGGATAAGGCTGATCATAGGACCAGGATGGAGAAGACTGTATCTGTCTGGAATCTGAGGCAAACAGAATTGAATTCAATTGTTTAGGTCGCAGAGCTGGATGATGTCAGAATAAGAAAAATTATTCTCAAATAGTATAATAAACATTGTGATTCATAAAAATATAGATATTTTCTATTCCATCAACATGATGTCCATATCCCTAAGGATTAGCATCCTTAGCCACCAACTAAATATTTCAAATTTCATTGTGCTTTTGTTTGTGTACAATGACAACAAAAGGAATTCTGATTCTAACTTCTACATAATGTTTGGGCTCAAAATGACTAAAGGTCATTTCAAGTCAGTCAGTTTGAATGCCTGGCTCTCCTGAAAGTTATACAAGTTATACATTAATGGTTGTACTCATTATTCATGAGTGATTGCACTCATTAATATTGTGATGATGAGTTTGACTGGATATTGTGCAGTATTTTCTTCTGACTGTTATTCCCACAATATTTGAAATTGTAAACATTTTTCGACTTCATTAGCCACTATTATTGGTCAGGCTTAAATTATAGCAGAATTCTAAAATTAGACTCTTATGCTACCTCTCCAACTATGTGTTCAGCGGAGATCTCAGAATGAAGAATAGTCATCTTGAAATCGAGAATGTGTTACGTTGACTCAGTTTCATAACGTGTTTATGGTCAAGGCACTTGAGTCACTTACCAATCTGTACTGCTTTTTCTCGCCTATACAGTCTGGTTGGAATAAATCCCAAAATGTTTATAACAACATTTTGGCAGCAGAATCCCATGGAGTTGAACTAGAGAAATGTTTAGTCTTTGAAACACCTGAACAACATATTTAAAGTAGTATCCAAAAAATCCATAAATACGGTGGATTTATGGATCGCAGTTTAATATCCATGGATTCACCTATTTGCGGAAATGTAGACTTCTGTTGAATATGACTTCAAATTATTTGTAGAAAATCTTCGTATTCACAATGTTTTTTGTAATGCACATGTGAAATAGTCGAAAGAAAATGCAGTTTGGGAAGTTGAAATACCTAGATATAATGTGACCTCATTTATGTTTGGCTGCTTTACAAAGCAGTCAATGCAGCGAGATTTATTTTCCTTGCCACTGATTGGCTGCTTTTCTTCACAGCAGACATAAGAAAAGACATGGATATTAGCTTCTGTGGAAGAGGTATGATGGTTTTCATTGTGGGTGTTGATCCATAATAAAGTATTGTATATTTGGTGTTGAGAAATTATATTAGACAGTAACACGTTTTTATAGGTCTTGAGAATTCATAGATTTAATCTGTTTGGTTGTGGTCTCATCCCTGCATTCATTTTTGCTATTTTGTTTGGATTAAAGCACTATTATTTGTCCTGATTACAGAGTAGTCAGCAAATACTCTGGGAATTATAGTTGTTTTCAGATATCCTGGTCATCAATTGTATAGAGAAGCACCTCGCCATGCTGTCAGGAATAACAAATTGGAAAAGTCTTCAAACAAACAAATCTTTTATTGAAGAAGAATAACTTCAATCTGAATATTTTCTGATCCAATCTTTAGTGGAAGTTCTGCATAGCACTGTCTTACCAGCAGTTAGTCCAGAGTGTGGAGGGCTGGAAAATGTTGCAGAAGTGAGGACTGCAGATTGGTGGTTGTTTGCAGATTGCTGATGATGATGATTATGAGGAGGCGTTACTCTGATAGAGCTCCTTCTCAGCTGTTCCAGCTCTGTAAGCCTCTCTGAGAAAGCTAATGATCCAGGTTTGACCTCGTCCAACTTCTGACGATGACCTGGAGAAAAAAAACCCCACACAGGTTCTCTTTTTAGATCGGCCAACAAAACAAGCTTCATTTGTAATCTGACACAGTACTGTTTTATTTCTTGATATAACCTGTAACTCTTTAGACTATGTGCTAGTGATACAGCATCAACGCTGTGAAAAAATATATAATTCGACCAGGACGAAAACCACACTGCTCTTCCAAAATCCGAGGTTCAACTATCCGACTGACCCTCCCAAATAGACCTTGCCAGGGAGGCTTAAGAGTGTGATCCCTCTATAATTGGAGCACACCCTCCGATCCCCCTTTTTAAACAGGGGGACCACCACCCCAGTCTGCCAATCCAGGGGTACTGCCCTCGATGCCCATGCGATACTGCAGAGTCGCGTTAACTAACACAACCCTACAACATCCAGAGCCTTAAGATACTCCGGTGCGAATCTCATCCACCCCCGGGGCCCTGCCACCGAGGAGCTTTATAACTACTTCAGCGACCTTCTCCCCAGAGATTGGCGAGCCCAACCCTGAATCCCCAGGCTCAGTTTCCTCAATGGAAGGCATGTCAGTGGGATTGAGGAGGTCTTCGAGGTACTCCGCCCAATGACTCACAACGTCCCGAGTCGAGGTCAGCAGCACCCCCCCCCCCCCCACTGTACACTGTTGGTGCTACACCACTTCTGGTCCACCACCTCCTGAGATGCTGGATGGTGGACCAGAATAGCCTCGAAGCCATACAGAAGTCTTTCTCCATGGTCTCTTCGAACTCCTCCCACGCCCGAGGTTTTGCCTCAGCAACCACCCGAGCCGCACGGCGCTTCTCCTGCCAGTACCCATCAGCTGCTTCTGGAGTCCCACAGGCCAAAAAGGCCTGATAGGACTCCTTCTTCAGCCTGACAGCATCCCTCACTGAAAGGATCCACCAACGGGTTTGAGGGTTGCCGCCATGACAGGCACCGACAACTTTGCGACCACAGCTCCGATAAGCCGCCTCGACAATGGAGGCACGGAACATGGTCCACTCAGACTCAATGTCCCCCACCTCTCCTGGGAGGAGTTAAAGCTTCGTCTCACAGGGGACTCTCCCAGAGACCTTCACAACACGTTTGGGCCTGCCAGGTCTGACTGGCATCCTCCCCCACCACCGAAGCCAACTCACCACCAGGTAGTGGTCAGTGGACAACTCCGCACCTCTCTTCACCTAAGTGTCCAAGACATATGGACGCAGATCCGATTAAACGATGACAAAATCGATCATCAAACTGCGGCCTAGGGTGTCCTGGTGCCAGGTGCACATATGGACACCCTTATGCCTGAACATGGTGTTCGTTATGGACAATCCGTGACAAGCACAGAAGTCCAGCAACAGAACACGACTCGAATTCAGATCGGAGGGAGTGTTCCTCCCAACCAGGTCTCATTGTCATTGCCCACGTGAGCATTGAAGTCCCCCAGCAGAACGAGGGAGTCCCCAGGAGGGGCACTCTCCAGTACCCCTTCTAAGGACTCCAAAAAGGGTGAGTAGGCTGAACTGTCATTTGGCCCGTAAGCACAAACGACAGTCAGAACCCGTCCCCCCACCCGTAGGTGGAGGGAGGCTACCCTCTCGTTCACCGGGGTAAACCCCAACGTACAGGCGCCGAGATGGGGAGCAACAAGTATGCCCACCCCTGCCCAACACCTCTCACTGTGGGCAACTCCAGAGTGGAAGTACATCCAGCCCCTCTCAAGGAGACTGGTTCCAGAACCAGAGCTATGCGTCGAGGTGAGACCGACTATTTCTAGCCGGAACCTCTCAGCCTCACACACTAGCTCTGGCTTCTTCCCCACCAGAGAGGTGACATTCCACGTCCCAAGAGCCAGTTTCTGTAACCGAGGATCGGACCGCCAGGACCCCCTCCCTCGGCCACCACCCATCACACACTGCACCCGACCCCTGTGGCCCTTCCCATAGGTGGTGAGCCCATTGGAAGAGGGACCCATGTTTCTTCTTCGGGCTGAGCCCGGCCAGGGCTCAGCCGGGCTAGGTAAAAGCCCGGCCACCAGGCGCTCGCCAACATGCCCCACCTCCAGGCCTGGCTCCAGAGTGGGGCCCCGGTGACCCGCGTCCGGGCGAGGGAACACTAGGTCCAAAGTTTGTATGCATCATAGGGGTCTTCGGGCTGTGCTTTGTCTGGTCCCTCCCCTAAGACCTGTCTGCCTTGGGTGACCCTATAAGGGGCATAAAGCCCCAGACAGCATAGCTCTTAGGATCATTGGGGCACACAAACCCCTCCACTACGATAAGGTGGCAGCCCGAGGAGAGGAGCAGTTGGACCCATGAATGATAAAACCAGATAAACACCAGAAAAAGAGTTCAAAGGCCACACACAAACTCTCTCTAATACATACACACACACACCACCCCACACACACACACCTGCGCCCCCCCACCCACACAAACACACATGCATACACACACATTTATCAAAGGAACTGGTTTGATGTACGAATTGAACTTGTATTTGACCTGCACCTTCACTCTCAATCTGCACCTGACCCCTCACATCACACAAGTTCCCAAACACAACAAAAAACAATCTCTGACATAATAAAAACAAATTAGGTATAGAGGACATAAAGGTATATGAATCTGCGTACCACTAGATGGTTTCTTGTTGAAGCCATGAGTCGACGTTTCACTGCCCAACAAGTCCTTTGTTCTGTCCTACATGGGATCTTCAGCATAAGAAGTTCAACATCTTATGTTGAACAAATTCTTGTGCTAAAGATGTTATGAAGATTTTCTTGAGCATCTTATGTTGAACATTTCGTCTTCAATATGGAATGTTTTTCATCTTAAGTTCAACATGGGGAAGGAAGGATTAGATGATCTTCATCTTATGTTGAAGATGTTCATCATAACATTTTATAAGTTCAACACCTTATGTTGAACAGAAGATGTTCTTCATCTTGTTTTGAATAGTTCATATAATTATGAGACACAAATAAGAACTGATGTTAAATTGTTCACAAAATCAAACTACATTTAGTTTTGTTGTGTTACGGCACCAATTTTCTTAATTTTAGGAGTTCGGTGATTGCCTGATACTTACAGGTGAAATTGAACCTATTCCCCCATCTTATCTAACTCAGCAAAGGTCAAATCATTGACCACTGTCCTCTTCTGCTCTTTGGTGAGAGAGGATGACTGACAGATCAGCCCACCAGATCATATCTGCACATTTGCAATTAACAATAGTCACCCCACTGTTGTGAACTCAGTGACTTTCTTTCCATATTTAGCGACATTTCGGGCAAAAAAATGGTACTTGCCAAAATTGAATCGGCCAGCCAGGGTTTTTTAAGCTTGGGGACTGGCGATTGTTCAAAAAAGTGCACTTGATGCACCCATACTCCAATATATTTATGGAAGTATGTCAGGGTTACTCACGTCGTGGCTCTCTGGGACCATCCACTGTGATTTTGATAGCTCTTTGATATGTAGCCACTTGGGGAGGGTTGGTGAACACTGTGATCGTGAGAGTGAAACTTTTTCCTAAAGAGGATAAACAAGGAAACCATGGGGAAAGAGTGGAGACAGGAAAGGTAACATATAAGAATAATTCCTTTAGATTTGGTATCCACTTGTATGTAATCAGGTTCAGTAATTACAAATCCATGTCATACATTTTAAAACTAAAGTTATTCATGAACACTGTTACAAGCTACAGTATCATGCAGACGCCATAGGATTACAAAACAGATTAAGAGCCTCATGTTTGTTTTCAACTACATGAGCAAATTCACTAATGGCCACAAGGTGGCACCTAAAAGGTCTATTCCTCCATTTAGTCATTTATTGTATACTACATACTTTAACACAGTATATACTGCACATTCATTACTGTACAGAAACCAATCCATAGAAATATGAAAATGTAATTTTGAAAAACTATAAGTTCATTCATAGTTTACATTCAGTCTGACAGACAGGAAGAGAAATAACTGCCAAAGCCATTGTGTCTGATTTTTGGAGGAGATGAACTCGGGTCTGTCTTTGGTTCAGAGCTCAGATATTGCAAAACAATAATAAGTGTTCTGTTTAAAAGAGGAACTATGAAAAAGACTGACAACTTGTCACAAATGACACACAGATTAATTGAATACATAAAGAACTTTGTGGATTTCATTAACTTTTTTATTTGACAAAAACTGAGCTAATTATTTATTTCATGTAATTATGCAATTTAGATGAACAAACCAAGCTCAAAAGGTTGCTAAGTGTTTGTTATGAATAAAATGTATCAAACTATAACAAACTTTTCTGCTTGTTGATGTAAAAGTTTTCATCTAACCCTGTAACATTAAAGCTAGAAACACAGATATTTGTGTGCTACATGCTTAAAAAGCATGTAGCACACACACGTATATATATATATATATATATATATATATATATATATATATATATATATATATATATATATATATATATATATATATATATATATATATATATATAAGCTAAAAATACAATTTACAGAGAGCCTTCTGAAGCCAATTCCTTGGACTATTACAGATGATACAAATGCACATCACTCTATTCTTATATGTATTTGTACATAATATTTAAGACCATAAATGCTTTTTTCTTCTATTTTGTGTTGGTCCCATTAAATCCCAATAAAATTTGAAATTTGTACATACAGCCCGATTTCAGCAAAAATAAAGAATAGCAAAATGTCAGAGAATTACAGGTAATGATTTTGCTACATATCAGAATCACATTTTACTGTTCAACTACCTGCAGCAATTCTGTTTTCAAGTGAATTGCAGTTGTGAAGTGATGCAGACGTCCAGATCTTTATCTTATATCTTTGTGTCACTGTAGTAAAGCTGGGAATTCAGCCTCCTCAATGTTGCATTCATGAGTTTTTCTGCAGCACTGTGGAATCCCTCAATACATTTCTGAAAGTTGTGTCTATATTTTCAACATGGCAAAAGACTAAGCACAGCTTTGAACATTCCTAAATGTGTGGAAGTGCAGAAGGAATTTGTGTACACAGGAGTGCTGTTTTAAATAGATAGGTCGGGACATTTGCCTATGGCTGATTTAGAGTAACTGTGGTCCAGTGTTTCCGTTAGAGACAGAAACAGGGAGGGCGTGGCTTGGCAGAGGCAGGTTGATACTAAATGAAATCCTAGGAGGAAGTTGAATGAATGCTGTTTTTATTCACATGTACTTCCCCTATTTTATCCATTCAGCACTAAGTGCCTGTTCAAAACGTGTCCATTAAAATTCAACCATGGTGAGACAAGAAGCCACAGACTCTCCCTAGTATTTTATGTTCTGTGTCATGTATCCATACCTCTCCCGCTCCGGCCGACAAATCGCAGGTCATTGAATCGGGCCACTTGATTCTTGATCACCGCGGTGGCATTGCGAAGCTCTGCTGAATAGTTCTCATCGTTTCCAGCCATCACAGTTACCAAAGTACCATCAGGAATATCGCCCAGGGTCACTAACTGGACGAACACCAAACAAAACTATGACAATCTAGAAACTTTTGTCTTGGTAGACTTTAATACAAAATAAAATGAAATTACTTTTAGCTTTATATACAATTTTATTCTACTTACTGGGAAATTGATAAAAGTTCTGAAAGTTAAACATTATAATGTTATTAATGAAACCTTTGGTTCTTATCGATCACCTGCTTAAATGTATCACACCATTTAGACACACACTTCAGTTGTGTCTGTGTTGCTTGGTACAGACCGACACATTTATAACTCTCTTGAAGTATTAAAGGGAAAGTACTTTCCAGGTGTAGAATACCATTTTATAGCACAATCAAGTAACAATGTTAACTTCAGCTCTTTAAAAAGTGCTATTCATATCAAATGTGATTTCAAATAAATTAGCCTTGAAATTGGGTCTCTATTACTTTAAATCTCCTGCTCTTTCTGAAACTCTGCCTTCATGAAGTCATCACAAAATGGCTCCTCAATTAATTAGAGGGTTCATATTAATCCTCTGGTTATGACATGGTGTGACATGTGTTGGTGTGACCAACATGTCACACCATGTGTTGGTCTGTCATTGTGTGACAGACCAACACAAAGCAATACTTAATTGTGGAGAGGATGGAAAATAAAGATGTAACAAAGCAACAGGCAACAGGATTGTGGTAACTCTGGAGGAACTGTGGAGAATTACCGCTCAGATGGAGAAATGGTAAACATGTAGAGGAAGGTGCTTTGGGATGGGATAAAAAATGGAATTTTTTGGCAACATGTCAAAAAAAACTAACACTTTACTTAACCCTGAACACACCAGGACAGTGAGGGAAGCTGGTCAGAGTTGACAGGAAGACGGGTAGGGTTAGCGCTATGGGGCTAAATCCAATAAAAGCTTGAAAGAACAAAAGCTACAGGCTGTATAACACTTCAAGCAGGACAACAGATGTTTACGATGAACAGATTCATGTGTCACAATGACCTAGCCAAAGTCCAGCCAAATTAATGGACTGATCAAACTTTTTTTATGGAGCACTTTTCAAATAATCACACACTTCACAAGTTTATCACATCATAAAATCAGTTGTTTGTGGTTTGGATGGGACAAAATCTAAAAAAGTTAATGGGTGTGAATACTTTAGAAAATGTAAAATGAGGGATTTACAGTCCATTCTTCTCTTTAACACCTGCTGTTTTTTTTTAGCTTATTTCCATAAAAACGCTAATCTACCATTGCTGTGCAAATATCCAGGATAGATATAGTACTATGGATGGTTTCTCTTCTCACATGGAGTTCTCTAAGCAAACAACTGCAACTTGTGTTGCTATTAATCTGAGTTAAACGTTGATTGTAATGTACTTCAATAATCACATGTTGATGTTTGCATTACGAGTTGTCAAAAAATAAATAAGGGCAGTAAAAGACTGCAAAATCAAGCAAAAAAAGCAACAAAATTTAGAATGTGCAGATATCTGTAGAGAAAAATGATGAAATACCTGTCTGCATATCCATCATATTTGTGCTATAACATACAGTTAAATGGGCACTGTTATGGGTGTGCATGAAATGTGCATTATATGTGCATTATATCCATTTTCAATAAGACGTAGCTACAGCCACTCATTATGCTCCATAATGATGCATTATGTTCCAAATTCACAAACAAGCAGAGAAATGCATGTGGGAAGACTAATGCATAAAACTCAATAAATCAATCTGTTGTGTGTTCTGCAGCTTAGAGATGCTGTTCCATAAATGCATTGAGTCTGAAAGAGGAGAAAAGCTTCCTATCATACATTCACATGTGAGTGAGTGAATACTCTGGAAACAAATCAAACATCACAGCGTGCTTTCACAATGCCGGGAATGAATGAAGAGAATGAAGTGCTCATATAGGACTACGATGTTGAAATACAGATAAAAAAATGTTTGGAGATATTATCACTTTTTTATTAGAATTATATTCATATATTTCTGTTAAATATCACAGTCCATAAATTTAGTCCTGGAAAGAAAAATACTAAATATTTTGATAAAGAATTAAATCCTTCACAAACAGTTTTTTTGGACCCCCCAGTTAGAGAATAGCTTTAGCACGCAAATTCTGGACATATCCTCTAAAATAATCACACCCTATTTTGATAGTTCAAACACTAAATATACCTTAATACATCTATGATAGACATACTGCCACTAATAAAATTCACATTCGCAGTTTTCCTTTTCTCCATTGGAGGGCTAAAGATATTTGAAGTTTCCCAAGCTTTCAAATATTTTAAATAGTACTGAATGAAAAAAGCCTCAAACTGAAGCTGGGGTCCACTGTAATAATTTTAACATGAACTTCAGGTTGGAAAGTTACCATAAGAGCAAAAAGCAAAGGATCCAGCACAATTATATTTCGTGGGGGTTTAACTCTTGCTGATCCAGTAACTAAATCTACATTTCCCTTCTTAAAACCTTTGAAAGCAACAATTCTGTTCATACATTTATTCAACATAATAAGTGTGTGAACACTTATTATTAGTAGTATTAGGAACGCACAGGTGAAATAAACTCACAAACACACACTTACATATATATGTGCAGTGCCAATCAAAAATGTTTAGTACACACCTTAAAAGCAATGGGAAGAGTCTTGTTACACCTCCAGTGAGTGGGCAGGACAGAGCAGAGGAAATTTGGGCTGTCAGTTTTTACCAGCTCTCCTGGATGATCAGAAATCACCTATGAAGATGAAAGAGGGCATCACATTTTTTGTTTTCAATTATAAATCAAAGCACTTCAATTATTGAAGAGTTTGTTGCTGTACTTCAGCCATGCTGTGGTCCGCTATGCGGAACTTGCCCATCACAGTGGCCCCTCCACCAGCCTCCTGGGCTCCTAGAGGCAAAGCCTCGGCCATTTTCCCCCCTGAGGCAAGGGAAGTGGAGGGGGGAGTGTATCGCCTACCAGGGGCTGGATCTGGGAGAAATGAACGTGGTGGCCTGAGTCATACTACAGATAAACACATACAATAATATCGAAAACAAATAAATTCTTTAAAAAAGTGATTTTTTAAAATTATTTCAAACATTTAGCAAACACTTTACCAGTCATTTTTCTATTCATTTAAAAATCACTGAATTTTAGATATTTGAACATCTGAATTCAATTGAATTCAGTTTATTTTTAAAGTGCCATTTCATAACAAATGTTGTCCGAAGGCACATTACAAAACGTTACATTTCAGTTCAGCCACACACATTCCACTTGATCCTAATAGTCAAACAGTGAATTATGTGCAGTTTATTATTCAAAATCAATCATTGACTTGGAGCAGTCACTCTTCCTGGACGAGTACGAAGCGACAGCAGACAATCTCTTGCGTTGTTGTTGACTTTACAGCAATCCCTCAGCTGTAAAGTGCATGTAGCAACAGTGGAAAGGAAAACTTCTCCTTCCTTTATCAGAAAGAAACCTCCAGCAGAACCTGAACCCGACTCAGTACGAGCGGCCATCTGCTACGACTGACTGGGGGTTTGAGAAGACGGAGCAAAAAGAAAGGAAATAAGTGATGCAGGAGTACTTTCTAAATTGATGACATGCGTCATGTTAATAGCAGGAGAGGGAGACGATGTAAGTTGCTGATTTGATCCCCTCTATATACGCCTGAAAAGATATTGTCATCATAACCTTGTAATATTTTGAATATTTACATATTATTTAATACTTTTTTTAAACAAAAATCTTTCCTCAGTCTCAAATATCAACATGCTTTTTTTGTAAATATAACTGAAGGACTTTTATAATTTAAACTATATTGGGTTGTTCTAAGAGTCTCCCTGTTTGCCATCAGGTGTGAATATGGTGAAACATAGATCCATATTATGAATGCTATTTAGGAAAATGTAGGAATGTTTCAGGAAAACATTTGTTCATATCTATAGTGAGAGCTATAAAAACTGACTGTAATATACAGGGATGAATTAGGAACCACTAAATGATTCATAACCCTGGCAAAATTAACTTAAAATGTTTTTTTTATTATATAAAAAATAAGTACCAGTATCAATACTGAATAGAAATCAGATTTATTTTTATTTATTTTTTTTACATTTTTTAAAGAATGGCATGCTTATATATTTATTTTATTTTTCTCAGCAATTAATAAAAATGTTTTTGGGATTCCAACTGCTGAACAGCTTTCTGAATTATTTGGACAATCTGTCTGTGAAAAGCTCCAGGTGTTTGGGTTTGGAAGGCCTCAAAACCATTTCCCTAATCTTTAGCTCTATGCATAGTTTAAAGTCAGGGCTGAGCTGCTATGAATCAATTTCAGCTAAACCACAAACCCATCATTTACAATAAGCAGGGTGCAGGCAGCATATCTATGCCGCTGTATAAAACGATGGGCTTTTTGGATTTACTTCTCAAAACTGAGTCTTTGGGTCAGCTTCAGTGTAGTTTTTGACCAAGCCACAATCAAGTGTGTGATCAAGGAACTAAAGGAAAAACAAGTATATGATCAAAATCAAGCAAAAATAGTTCTGTTAATTTAAGAAAATATACTTGAAATGCTTCCAGAAATCCAAACATTTCTGAAGATTTAGTTGCAGTACAGAATAAGTGTGTAAATAACTCTGTTTTAAAGTTTGAGACTTTTGAAACGTTGGAATCATAGAAGAAAGAAAAGTCTCACGGATAAATTCAGCCGCCAAATGAGAACAGAGCCAGACTGTAAATATGAAACATTTCTATTGAAATGTGTTTGCATGCAGCAGTAATATTTCCCTTCACTTTCACTTAAAATTAGTTCTAGGAAAATAGTATCAATATTTATAATAATACTGCAGTTCTTGGGTGCTTTAAGCAGCAGTTGTCTTACTAAAGGCAAAATGCAGACCCTCCTGCAGGTTTTTGCTTTTGCGTTCACTAAATGTCTTAATTGTTCATGTTATTGTGGCAACAAGAAATAATGTTCCTACACACGAGCCTGCAGTTTTAATGCGTTCTTCCCGTTCACTGTGGAAGAGTCTTTTTAAGAGAAATTACTTTTTGATTTGAAGTGCAGCTGCTTTTTTTTACATGAATTAATTTTGATCGACTGAATTTCAATCAGGAGTCATCAAATACTCGTTACAATATATCCTCATTACAGAACAATCTTTAATTTCTTCAGTAATATTTAAAAATGTCTAAGTCAATGAAATTCAAACATGAATGGATTTTTTAAAGCAATGTTTTAAAATATGGGCATTTATGACTCATTTTCTAGAATCCACATATAATGGGACAAATACCATAAAAATGATTAGTAGAAAATCAAAATGTTATACTATGCTTAGTTTTCTACTGTCTTTATTATCCAGGCTTGCAAGGAGCAGAGCTAAAATTATGACATTTACATCAAACTTTTAGAAAATCCAACCATCAAGTTGCGTTTACTTTGAATCTTTGGGACAACTTTAGATATTTTTATAATTTCATCCCAAAAGTCTGAAATATGTGGGGTTAGTAAAAACAAAGTTATTTCTTCGTCTTCTAGCAGCGCGTCATGAACAGCTGCAGGATTTCTGACCAGAATGAGACGCTGCGGTTCACAGTGAGCCTGAAACGTTTTTCAGCGAATTTGTCAGCTTTTAAATTTGGAGCGGGATTTTTGGGCTCAGAAACAAACACGTGCATTTTATGGTTACTTTTTTCCTAGCCTGGACTGATGAAGTGATGAAAAACACGTCAATGTTTTGGTGGTCAGTGATGCTGAGTTGCTCTCTGCCCAGTGAAGAACAAGGAGCCCCGGCTTAAGTCGTGCAGGCCTACCGTATTTTGCATCCCACAGAAACACCATCTGTGCGCCTCAGTGCCAGCAACCCGACCTCAGAACCCGACCTCAGAACTCTCAGGACCTTCGCCTGCAGCTCTTTCACAACTCGGAACCTTTCAGATCTGCAGAGCTGCTTGTTATTTCAGGTATGTGGGTAAAATCCCAGACGCGCCGGATGCGCCAGACTGCAACCCAAAGTGGCTCCGCTCTCCAAACAGAAAGTGGTTTGTTGAAATCTGTGATCGACTTGAGAAAAAAGTGTCGAGCAGCTGCTGAGGAGCAGAAACTGAGCTTCCCAACAACTAGGAAGTGAAATGAGAAGTTAGACAGAAAAAGGAGATGTGCGCTCTCTCTCTGTTTCTCTCTCTCTCTCCGTTTCTCTCTCTCTCTGTTTCTCTCTCTCTGTTTCTCTCTCTCTCGCTCTCTCTCTCTCTTTTTCGTCTCTTCAACACATGAATGGCCATCCTGATGGAAACTACAAGCTTTTACCGGCATAGCGCTCTATTTGCATACTGACGGCATGGCTCAGGTATTAACCAATTAGGAAGCTCATCACAGGTTTGGCTTGATGCAACTGTCCAATCAGCGTTTCGTCCGCCCGAAACAATTCATTTGGAACCATAGCAAACGCAAAGCGCCTTGAAAGTCAGAAATGACTCCAGTGAAGTTCACTGCAGTCAGAACGTGGCGTCACATTGACTAGAAACGAAACGACGCGCTTGGCAGGCAGCGCGTCAACGGCTCAGTTTCAGAACTGTCCGTGTCCAGCAGGGGGCAGTAGTTCATGCAAAATGTAAAGAAACAAAAGGCTGAAAGTAATTATTTTAATAAATTCAATCCGTAAAAATTACAATTCTCTATATCCTTACTCGTGTTATGACTTCGTTTATTTATTTATTTAATATTTATTTATTTAAGGATCTTCAACATCAAATTATGTGATCAAAGTTTTTTTTTCTCAATCAAGGCACAGATAAATATTTAATGTTTTATTTATTTGTACATGTAAATAACTAAATACACGTTTTCCGTCTTTATATTCATGACCTAATTCCAACAGTATGGAATTAATATTTAAATCATAATTTTCTTTAGTTGTTATTATTTTGAAATAATTTATACATATTTTACTGTTTTTATACCTTAAATATCCTATTTTTGCAACTATAATCTTCATTCCTAAAATTCAGCATTTGAATGGCAATATGGGATAACTTGTAAATATTTTGTTGTGTTGAGAAATATAGATGATTTTTGATTAGTTTGTAAAGCAATTCATACTTTTTTTATTCAGGGTGTAAACGACATCAATAAAAATACCAAAACATGTAAAAAAAAAAAAAAAAAGTATTTTAATTTCTCATGTTTGTCCTTGACAATAGGGCAACTTTTTTGCCATGAAGGAATCTAATATTATTGCACAGTTGGAAGAAATATTGGTATAATATACCTCATATTCATGCTGTTACAGTTTTAAAGGCCACTCTGTCTTTGCATCTTCTGTGTGTAGCCAGAGGGTGGACTATTAAAAATGTAACTCCTTCATCTCACAGGATTAAGGTTCGACCTTAGATGAACATGGCATGAATAGCTATTGCAAATATTCATTTTTCTATTTTTCTTAATTAATTGTTCAATACTTTAAGTAGCAAAATAAATAACAACCATTAATAAATTAACAAATACTCATACCTTCCAAAAGGATTTAATAAATTAGTCTACGTGTTCCAGGCACAACCCTTAATGTATATCACTTCAAAAATTAGCAAAATGAAATTCATCTTAATGAAACTTTTCTACATTCTTTTGATAGCAGCTCAGTTTCAGTTGGTGAACATCAGTTTTTAAGTATTGCCATAGATTTTCAGTTGGATTTAGGTTCAGAATTCAAACATATGAATCAGCTTTGATCTGATTCAGAAATATTTTATAAAGGTTAGGGTTAGATGCGTCTCAATTTGAACACACCAGAGTCAAATGATGCAGTTTTTAGCAGGACTTTGGGGAGCTTGACTGCATTTGGAATGTAATTTAGCTGTTTCACTGAAAAGTGTGTTGGATCAGAAAGACATCAAAGAGTTGCAGGACTCCTGCATGACTGGGATTGCCCTCCCTGATCTAAACCAGTCTGTTAAATCTTTGGTTGTATGACATGGTTGACCTGCTGGAAGGTGAAACTTTCGCCTAGTCTCAAGTCTTCTGAAGCCTCCAACAAATTTTCTTCCAGAATTGTCCTGGATTTAGCTCTATCCACATAGCATAATGCTGCCACCACCATGTGTCTTGTATTGCTGTTCCAACATACAGTATATCACTGGACGTCTTATGGCTTCCTTCTTTCTATTCATCCAATAAGGCCAGATTTATGGAATAAAATGTATCATAGACAAATTATTCTACTTCAGCTATAGATAGTGAGCCACAGCCCTGACTGGCTTCACTGCAAGGTTTCCATCACTGCTCCACTCAGTTGGTATATTCATGAAGTAATGGAGAGAAAAAAAAATCATCCTTGTTTTCCCTTAGCTGACCATCTTCTTCATGTTTGCTCAGTTTATCATGGGTTGGAATAAACTGCCAGAAGGACTTCTGACTTTTTTTCAACATTGTGTTTATTCATAACAGCCTTATATAAAAATAGGATTTGCAGAATGCATGATGATGGTTGTTCTGTCAGTAGACTCTCCTAGATGAACTGCAGCTCATCCAGAGTTATCATGAACTTCTTGGTAGCAGTTTAGGCCAGAAACCAAGCAGCTCTAACTAGAATCAAAATAAATTACGCATAGCTGAATCCTACTGGCTATCATATCTGAAGGTACTTGATTTTATTCAGTGGTACTGAATCAAAAGGGGTAAAATATAAAATTAGACTTTTATTTGTAAATAATTATTGCAGAATCACGTATTCCATAAGGAGACTTCTGGCTCTAAACTGACTAAACTGTGAAAAGTTTGTAAAAAGGGGTTGGAATATTTGTTATTTCATTGCCTACCACAAATACTTATCAGCATAAATGATTTATAATCATAAGTTTGAATGAATACATAAGTGTTGTTTTTTTTATGTATTCAGAACTTTTACTGAATTAAAGAATTAAAATCTTATGCTTGATAAGTAAATTATTAGTCAATATTACTGAAGGTTTAAATGTTGCCTAATAAAAATAATATCCCAACAACCCAGACGAGAGACGTTAAAGGAAATAAAGAAACATAACAGAGTGAGTGGTGTTGAGTTTCACTCATCTAGCATTTCCCATAGACCAGCTCGTAATATGATCTTCCCTGCTGTCCTCTGATCTAGAATCTATACAAAGCCTTAATCACCTATCAAACTTCCCGAGAATGTTATTGGCCTTTCCCTTTGCTAATACAAAAAGAGTAAAAACAATCATTTCTTTTCTTCTTTTTGTTTTTTTAACATAAGCTATCAATTATGTGGTTTCCAAATTCTTTTGAGGCATTTCAGCTGATATTGCTGAACAGATGAGTCATCATCATCTTCATCCTCAGTTTTACAATGTCATGGGTGCAAAGTCAGACAGGCTTATTGTCATTGAACAAAGACATGACAGCAATGGTACAATGAAATGTACCAGAGTACATAGGAGAAATACTGATGTATATGCAACTATTACTGATGCATGTAAAAAGAAGAAAGTATATGTATAAAATAGTTATGTTCTTTGCATTTATGGTTTGTGGGATATCTTGGGTTCTTATGGCTGCTTTGTTTACTGCCAGCCTAGATCTCCAAACCAAAATCACTTCAAGCACTAATTGTACTTTTTCTTTTAGCGTCATTTGCCATTTTCTCCATATTAAAAAAATGAAAGCCAGACTTTGTCAGGCCATTAGATCAAGCTCAATCATTTTCCATATTGTCTGGGAAGAAGGCAGGACCACATGTGTTGCATTTGAATTTTTTTTGTTTTGGTTTATTCTTTCACAGTGACGTTAGAAGTGAGACACCATCAGCCAATCACAGTGCAGACAATGGGTGTGATGCGGCAATCAGGACAATAGGATGGAACATGCGTCTCTGAACAAACATCAGAGAAATAAATAGCAATTCTTTTAATTTATCGTCATTCCACAACATGGAGAATGAGACACAACAGTTTTGATAACTTTACCAAAGAGTCCGTTGCTCGTGTGGCCTTTCCTCATCAGATACATGGCCCAGGACAAGGGCCCAGAGCTGGCGAATGTCCCTGGGTTCATGACTCGATCCTTTCCAACAGACAGTAGAAGATAAAAGAAAAGAAAAAAAATTAAAAAGTGGATGAAGAAATATTACAGTTTTACAGTTTATATTTGAAACAAAATGGGAGCTGCCAAGAAAAATCGCAGTCTTCACTTCTACTTTTCCTCACCTGTTAAACCTGCTTTTATACTGTTATTCATCTCCTCACCCACTCTACCTCCTCTCTTTTACTTATCCTACATTTATGATACAACTAAAGAGTGGGAGGGATTAAAAAAAAAGGCAAGAGGAGGGGGGCATATCCACTGAAGCTTAATTCATTCCTTCCTTCTGTAAAGTGTAGCCCCAGGGGACAGAACTTCACTTTGCCCTTAGGCTCTTTAAGGCTGCTAATTTCATTTAGCTGTAAAAATGATTTTCTACCTCCTTTCTCCAACCAACCCCATTTCTCTGTCACCATCTTTCTTTTACTAGTTTCAAGAGCTGGTTAAAAATTGAGGACATTGATTGAAAAACAACGTATCAGCCCTGCAGATGCTTGCTTCATACTGAAGATGTGTTTTTTTAATTATTTTTTATGTTTTCAAGAAGGAATTGACTAATTGGCATTATTTGCTTTAACTGTTTTTAAATCATTTTTTAATTGAAAATTTTGAAATGAGTCTTGTGTTCGCTGTATGTGAGAAGCTCAACAGTGTGTGGTTCAATAATCACGCTTGGCTGAAGGGCACACATTAAAATGTTAAAGGAAGCAAAGAGCTTCAACTTCTCCAACAGAAGACTGATCAACATCCTCAATTTTTATACAGAAATATGAATTATGTCACTTTAGAATAAAGACCCACCAGGGAGAGGTTTTCACCCACCCTTCAATTTTTTCACTTTCCTTCAAACCACAAACACCATTCAATTTCATGACAATAATTTGTGACATTCAAACACTGGAAAAAAGTAAGTGGAATTTTTAACATTTATTGAGAAAGCAAATACTGTTAAATTAGATGAGATGGTTTCAGCAATGATAAATTAAACTATTTTAAATTGTTTAACATGTGAGACTTAAAAGGAATTAG